CTTAACAACAACAACAATGTAAACTGATATTAAGTTTTTTCCTCTACCTATGTAAACTGATTTGTTGCTTTATTATACTGGCTTTGCTAGCTGTTATGTAGTCTTCCTTTTTAACACTAACCTGCTATCTCTGCTTTTGTACTCCCTGCTTCAGCACATCCCTTTAGATAAGCCCCTAGACCCTGAGCCAAGATCCTAGCATATATAAACTAGCAACCAGCTCCCTGCTACACGGCAGACTTAGGAGAAGCTACTGTCTCCCTGCTGTCTGGCTATAGCTGTCTGTTGTGCCAATAAAATTCTCTAAATTGGACATTATAGTGGTCATCATCCTTCTTTGGGACTTGAACCTGTAACAAGTGTCCATGAGCTGGGATTGACATCCCAGCAATGGGTTAGGTTTTTGGCAGCGAAGAAGTAAGAGTAGAGGAACTTGGTGGGACCCAAAAGACTTCATCACTCAGGGCAAATACTTTGAGTGGGTCCCTAAATTGTCCCTCGGGAGCTTGACCAGAGCGTAAGAGCGCTGATTTTGCAACATCCTCGCCATTATGAAGAACCATCTTCACCAAAGTCTCTGGGTTTGGCAGGCCAAGGGTGGACTCTGCTTTAGATCTTCATTTTTAGTACTATTATTATTACTTTTGCTGTTGTTGTTAAGTGTTGTCGAGTCGGTTTTGACTCATAGCAACTCTGTGTAGGGTTTCTGAGGAGCATTTGGTGGGTTTGAACCACTGACCTTGCTGTTCAAATTGATCTTGTGGTCCAGCACATTATGATGGTTTGAAAAAATGTGACTGGCTCCAGGAATCACCACACTCCCCCATTTCTCTTTTCCAAACAGACCATCATACTTCCTCACACACAGGTGGACAATGGGATTCTCAAAGCAACACGATGGGGCATTTCTAGCCCCCAAACCAAAGTCAGTACCATTGTGTCAATTCTGACCCGTAACTACTCCATAAGACAAGGTGCGATCGCTCTTCAGGGATTCTGAGACTAAGTCTTTGTGGGAGCCACAACCTCATCTTTCTCCTGCTTGTCTCCTAAAGACTCAGGGAGGCAGTTGGATCTCAAAGTTCCAAAGGCCCGAGACCTAACGGTGAAGGTTCTGATGCAGTCCTCCCACCCTGGAGGGAGACCTGTTGCTCATCAGCATTGACTGAGAGCATCAACTGTCTCAGTTCACTCAGAACTGGTCCTGCCTCGGCCCACATAACCTCTGCTGTATGTATGGCAAAGAACAAAGCTGTTTCTTGTTTTTGTTCTATCCCGAAAAGGATTCTAACAAAAGGTCAGTATTAAGGGCCCAGAGTAGGTCTCTGAAGGATTCTCAGGGGGGGAAACCTGTAAGGTTGGGAAAAACCCAGAGATGAATTTCAGGATAAAGGAAATTGGTGGGGGTGGGGAGGATATGGGATTTTTCAGTTCTCCATTTTGACAGCTATGTTGGTGTTGCAAACCTGCAGGAAACTGCTAACGCTGACAAACTTTTTGGAAAGGGCGCTAAGAAGTGCTGGGATGAACTACTTTTGTCACTAACTTTCTTTGTCTAGAAATGAGGGAGAAGCATTCTTGACCATGCCATTAAGGAACACAAACTTAGCAGTTGAAAGCTCCCAGTTTCTGTGGGGTAGAAGTCTGGGTTATTTGTTCAGGCTCTTACAAGACTTCAGACAAGGTGTTGGTCTGGCTGGATCTTGGTTATTTTCTAAGATCATGTTGTTGTTGGCAGAATTCAGTTCCTAGTTATAGGACTGAGGCCCTCAGAGCCCAGAAACTACCCACAGTTCTTAATGTTTGTAGGACTGAGACTTCAATGCCCAGAGACCATCCACATTCCAGTTGCCCAGAGATCACCTACAGTTCCTAGTTGTTGTAAGACTGAGACTTAAGTGCCCAACTTTCTACCCATGTGACTCTCTCCAAGAACAGCTGACCTCATGATTGTTTATTTTTTCAAAGCCAGCAGAAAAGTCTCTCTCTAGTCTGGTGATGGTGCCATCCCTCCACCTTTGTTATAGTGTATTGGTCAGAAGCTACTTAAAGTTTCCACCTACACTCAAGGGGAGGAAATTGGACAAGAGCATACATAAGTCACTGGGGGTCACCTTAGGGTGTGTCCACCACACTAAATATTTCACGAATCTTGTTTGCATTAGGAACTTGAGGAAGAGATGACTGAAGCAACAGTAGACTCTAACAAAGATGTGTCAGAGGAAAGTGATGACCTGGATGTTCTTGAACAAGTTGATGGAGGTCAGAACCCATTGCCAAGAAGTCAACTCAAAGCAAGCCTGTAGGCCAGAGCGGAACTGCTCCATGGGGTTTCCGAACCCGCCATCTTTATGGAAGTAGACAGATTGGTTGGTTGGTTGGTTCAAACCAACAATCTTTTGGTTAGTAGGCCAATGCTTAACCCACTGCACCCCCAGGGCTCTCTTGATGGTGGCAAAGGAACTATGAGGGTCAGTCTCGGTGCAGGCCTCAGTTTCCCCATCTGCTCCATCACAGATATGGACATTCTAGTGCAGGAGAGACCAGGAACCTCTTGGTACTGAAGCTGTGCTATCTTCATTTCAGGGACTTTCCAACAAGTCACGAATCTCCTGAACATTATGGAGAGCGACCCAACCAAGACAGACGTTGGGTGGGTAGGCCCCGACATGAGGAAGATGCTGGCCTCGGTGATAATCACAGAAAAGGCCAGCAGTGACCCCTCTATGGTGATGAATGCTCTCATCCGCTGTCTGCAGATACCTGAGGTAGAGCCCCTCCGTTGCTGTCTCCTCCGTGGAGCTCAATCCACCATTCAGCACTCAGTCACTGTGAGCCAGGTGCTGGGACTCAGATGGGCAAGACCAGGAGGATTTTTACTCCTTGAACCAAACAGTGAAACCAAACCACTTGCTGTCAACTTGACCTTGAGTCCTGACCACCTCTTGTGTGTCATAGTTGTGCTCCTTACTTTTCATTCTTTTTTTCTAATAATTCATTTTGCTTTTTTTGTTGTTGCTGAAAATACACGTAGCAGAACAGTTTTTACGTGTAATATTCAGTGACAATGGCATTTTTCAAGTTGTGCAGCCCTTGTCTTTTTCCAAGTTGTTTCTCCCCCATTAACATAAACTCACTTCCCCTAAGTTTCCTATCTAGTCATGCAAGTGGTTATTATGAATTGGCTTAGAGTCAGGGTTAGGAATAGGGATAGATAGTTCTTACAAGAGCAAAATACTCAAGGCAGACTCTGTTACTAGTTAAGCTAGACAACTGTTTGCTTGGATAACCTATCAACACTCACGGAAGCAGCAGGTAAGAAATTAAATGATGTATCGCATTAGACAAATCTCATGTTCAAGATCTTTTTAAAGTGTTGAAGAGCAGAGATGTCAGCTTGAGGACTAAGGTGCACCTGACCCAAGCCATGGTATTTTCAATAACCTCATATGCATGCAAAAGCTGGACAGTGAATAAGGAAGACCGTAGAAGAATTGATGCTTTTGAGTTATGGTATTGGAGGAGAGTATTGAAAGTGCCATGGGCTGCCAAAAGAACCAACAGATCTGCGTTGGAAGAAGTGCAGCCAGAGTGCTCCTTAGAAGCCAAGATGACCAGATATCATCTCTCATACTTCGGACATATTTTCAGGAGGGACCAGTCACTGCAGAAGGATGTCATGCTTGATAAAGTGGAGGGTCAGCGAAAGAGAGGGAGACCCCCAAGAAGTTGGACTGGCACAGTGGTAGGAGCAATGGCCTCGAGTGTAGCAGCAACTGTGCGGATGGCCCAGGACGATGCGGTGTTTTGGTTTGTTGCACCCAGTGTCGCTATGGGCTGGAACTGACTCAACAGCCTCTAAGAATAACAACTGTTCGACTTAAAGAAGGCTTCAGGGAATCTTTGTAGTTTAAGGTTTAAAGATTGTCTCAGGGCAGTAGTTTTGGGAGTTTAACCATCCTCTATGGCTCCACATAGAGTTTATAATAACAAATATTTTGGAAGTAGATTACCAGATCTTTCTTTCAAGTCACTTCTGGGTGGATGCAAACCTCCAACCCTTAGAATAACACCTAGGTACTCCTCTTGTTGGAGTCCTGGCGTGACACTGTGGGTTCATGCGCTGGACTGCATGGTCAATTTGAACCACTAGGTCAGCGGTTCAAGCTCAGCAGCCACTCCTTGGAAACCCTATGCAGGATTGCTGTGAGTCAGAACTGACTCAACAGCACTTAACAACAACAACTCCTCTTGTAGCATAATGGAATAGGAGCTGGGTTGTTAACCTCAAGGCCAGCAGTTTGAATCTGCCAATTGCTCCATGGGAGAAAGATAAGGCTTTCTCCTGTAAACAATGACAACTTCAGACACCCTCTACAGGGTCATTATGAGTCAAAATCGACCTGATGGCACACAACCACCATTCCTCTCATTAAGGACCCCTGGTGGCACAGTGGGGTAAGTGTTAGGCTGCTAACCACATGGCTGGCGGTTCAAACCCACCAGGGAGGCAGATGAGTCTGCCTGCTCCCATAAAGATTTACAACCTCGGAAACCCTTAGGTGCAATTCTGTTCTGTCCTGCAGGGTCACTGTGAGTTGGAATCGACTCAGTGACCATGGGCGTCTCCTCTTCTTCCTGAAGTCCAGTTGACTCAGTATCTCTAGTGGGGGTGGACCCTGGGGTTTTCATAGCTTTGAAAAGATTCCCTGGATTCTGACACAGTGAGTTTGGGAGCCATTGCCTTAGAGTCTGTTATAAAGATGGAGACCCGAACAGGTGGACTGGGGGTACCAAGACATGGCAGATGCAGAGACAGCATGTGACAAGGCAGAGGTGTTTGCCCAGTGATGAGGCTAGGGTAGAGGATGTTGAAGGGAGTGATGAAACACGTGGTAACCTGAGATCATAGTAGACCTTGTGTGAGAGGACAACGGTAGGACCACGTACTCACCTGTAAGTGTACATTGCAGATACCTGGAGGGCTTGTTCAACACAGATTCCTGGGCGATTCTGATTCATTCGGTCCATGACGGGACTTAAGAATCAGCGTTTCTGGCAAGTTCCCAAGTGATGCTGCCGCTGCCGCTTTATAGACTGTTCTTCAAGAACCTCTGGATTTTAGGCAGCCCGGCGTGGTGAAATGGTTAATGTGTTTGGCTCCCACCCAACAGGTTGGCAGTTGGAGTTCACCAGAAATGACTCATAAGAAAGATCCAGTGATCCGCTTCTGAAAAATCAGCCATTCAAAACCATGTGGAGCCAAGTTCTCCTCTGAGATACCGGGGTCCCAGGAGCTTTCATTAGGATTCTTTGAAGCTTCCATTATTTGCTATCCCAAGAATGACAAACAAAGGCTGTCTCTACCAGATTTCATCTGTGGTGGTGGTGGTTATGTGCTGTGGAGTTGGTTCCGGCTTATAGTGACCCTGTACAGGGTTTCCCAGGCTGTAAATCTTTACAGGAGCAGAAAGCCTCATCTTTCTCCCACGGAGCAGCTGGTAGTTTTGAACTGCTGACCTTGAGGTTCTCAGCACTATTCGTAACCACTATGCTAGCAGAGCTCCTTGCGGAATGCTGTATAACCTATCCATTTGAGTGACTGCTCCTAATCTTGTTGTTAGATTCCATTGAGCTGGTTCCCACTCATAGTGTCCCCATGCACAACAGAATGACACACGCCTGGTCCTGCGTCATCCTCACGATTGTTAAATTTGAGCCCAATGCTGCTGCCACTCTGTCAGTCCACCTCGTTAGAGGGTCTTCTTCTGTTTTGCTGGCTCTCTACTTTACTAAGCATCATATCACGGAACTATCCCCTTCTGATAGCAGGAGAGATGCTGCGTGGTTTAAAATCAGAAAGGGTGTATCCTTTTGCTATACTTATTCAGTCTGCATGCTGAGCAAATAACCTGAGAAGCTGGACTATATGGAGAAAAATACAGCATTAGGGTAGGAGGAAGGCTCGTTAACAACCTGTGATATGCAGATGACACAATCTTGCTTGCTGAAATTGACAAGCATTTGAACCACTAGATGATGAAGATCAAAGAGTGCAGCCTTCAGTATGGATTACAGTTCAGTGTAAAGAAAACAAAACTCTTCACAACCGAGCCAATAAACAACACCATGATAAATAGAGAAAAGATTGAAGTTGTCAAAGATTGCATTTTAGTTGGTCCACAATCAACACTTATGGAAGCAGCAATCAAGAAATCAAACAACATATTGCATTGAGCAAATGTGCTGCAAAAGACTTCTTTAAAGTTTTAAAGAGGAAAATGTCACTGAGGTATGCTGGACCCAAGCCATGGTATTTTCAGCCACCTCATAAGCATGTGAAAGCTGGACAATGAGTAAGGAAGAACAGAGAAGAATCGATGCATTTGAGTTACGGTGTTGAGGAACAATAGTCAAAATACCGTAGACTGTCAGAAGACCAAACTAGTCTATTTTGGATGAAGTACAGCCAGAAGGATATTTAGAAGCAAGGAGGGGGAGACTTCCTCTCATTTCGGACATGTTTTTAGGAGGGACTAGTCCTTGGAGAGGGACATCGTGCTTGGTAAAGCAGAGGGTCCGCTCAAAGAGGAAGACCCCCAATGTGGTGGGTTGACACACTGGGCCCAAAGCAACAGTAGTGAGGATGGTGCAGACTTGGGCACTGTTTTGTTGTGTTGTGCATAGGATTGCTGTGACTTAGGATCAACTCAGTGGCATCTTGCAACAAGAACAACCACATCCACATCATTAAGGTCAAGTTGACTTGGAGGAAGCAGCTCTTCCCCAGTCGTATTTTGAGTGCCTTTCAACCTGAAGGGTTCATGTTCTGGAACAATAGGGAACAATGTTCTGCTGCTATGCAAAAGGTTTTCAGGGTTAATCCCTCCGAGGTGGACCACCGATTCCTTATTCCTAGTCTGTCTTAGTCTGGAAGCTCTGCTGACACTTGTCCACTGTGGGTGACCCTGCTGGTATTTGAAGTGCCAGTGGCATAGCTTTCAGCATCACAGCGACATGCAGGCCACCACAGTACAACCGACTAACAGACCATTGGTATTTAAACTTGGTACTCACAGAAAGTCTCTCACCCAAGTATCAACTAGGTCTGAGTTTGCTTACCTCCACAGATCAGAGGAGATCAAGTGCCATCAGGTTGGTATGGCCATAGACCACAAGTTCTTGCTGACCCCGCATTTTCTAAGGTGGCTGGACTTTCAGTTAGTGACCTTCTTGATCACTTGAGGGGGTAGTCCATTTCCCCAAGGGACTAGAAGGTCATGGCTCATTAAGTAAAGTCAACCCTTGTTTCTGAAGAGTGGATTTTTTTGTTACTGTTGTTAAGTGCCATCGAGCCGGCTCTGATCCATAGCAACCCTGTATAGGGTTTCCAAGGATTGGCTGGTGAGCTTGAACTGCCAACCTTGTGGTTCAAACCGACTTTGCAGTCGCGCGCATTAACCCACAGCGTCACGCCAGGACTCAGAAGACTGGATAGTCATGCCTAATTATCCGAGAGTCAGTCTCAAAAATATTATGTTTCAACTTTAACTTTAGGAACACAATTGATTTTCCCAATTAAATTCTAAATCAGATCTTACCAATTATGATAAGTGCTATGTTTGTTGTTGTTGTTGTTAGATGCCATTGAGTCGGCACCGACTCATAGCGACCTTATGCACAGCAGAATGAAACAATGTCCGATCCTGGCCAACCTCACTACTGTTGCCACACTTGAGTCCATTGATGCTGCCACCTGGCCAATCCATCTTGTTGGGGTCTTCCTCTTTTTCTTCTACCCTCCATCTTACCAAACATGATATCCTTCTCCAGTGACTGTTCCCTCCTGACAATATGTCCAAAGTATGAGAGACGAAGTTTGGCCATGTAGGAATCAAAATATACAAGTCTTCTTATCACAAATGCTCACTAGGGCAAAGGGCAGGGCGAACTTACCTTTCAAAACGGTCATTGCCAATCTTGTGGAGAACTCAAGTGTTGAATATGCTGGGCTGGAAATGGAAGGGGAATAAATTTGCAGGTCATGTTAACGGGAGCAGCTGAAAGCATCAGGTGGAGAGGAGAAGGAATTAGAGATGAAGGAGTCTGGAACTGTGGCTTGGATGGTTTTGTGAATGGTGTTTGATTTTACCAAGAAGGGATATACAGAAGGAGGAAGTGGGAGGGAGAAGTAAGGAATATGGAGCTAATTGGACTTCTGGTGCTGGGGTAGGGCTAAGTCCACTCCCAGACATGACTGCCCAACCTAGGGATCTTTCCACCCGCCATATTGTTCCCCAGATTTCCACTCAGCGCAAGGTCAACATTTACAACATTCTCCAGGAAATCATCCAGCAGGAAGGGGAGCTGGAGGAGCACTGTGTCCAGAGACTGGTTGCCATCGCTTTCAAGGAGATGAGGGAAGCCCCTGAGGTAGCCGAGTCCTGTGCTCCAGGGAGGGCTCCCCACCTGCTGGTCCATTGGCCATGGCCAGCGATGCTCATCAGCCTTGGGGAACTCAGCAGGGTGGAGGATACGTGGTGGAGGAGGGCTTTCATGAAGGCACACAGCTGATGGTGGCACCCCATATCGCTCTCTGGTCCCCCTACAGATGGAAAGCTATGTCAGGGCCGAAGTGGCCAGTGACACTCTGGTGGCTCTGTCCCGAAACCATTTCAGCTTGGTCATGTTCCAGCTGCAGCACCAACTCAAGCCCCTCAACCTCTGCGACGAGTTTGTCATTGTTACCTTGGCTAAGATGGCCAACGGCAATGGTAGGAAGGCCCACAGTCCTCAAGCTTTAGGTTCTGGTCAGCCCAGTGCCCCCTCATGGCCTCTGACTCTCATCTGTCTTTGTCTCTGTCCCATCCTTTCCACCTCTGTCTTTTCTCATCTTTCTCTGCCATTCCTTTTGGCTTCAACTCTATAAGCTTCATTTCTTTAATCTCCCTCAGCTCTCAAGATGCCTTCTGGTTTCCTGTCTGTCAGGTGTGTCTCTTCGTTCCTCTGCCAACACTATCTGTGTTTCTGTCTCTCATGAGTCTCTCTCTGTCTCCTCTACCTCCATTGCTGTCTTCACATCTCTCTCTCTTCCTGTTTCCTCCATATCGCTCCCTTTTTTCATTCCACAAATATATACTATGCTTTCGCTCCATGCCAAGCTTTGGCGTGGGTGTTGAGCTACAGTAGAAAATAAAATACCCAGGGAAGACTGGGGTGTAAAGCGCCTCGCTGTGGCATGAAACAGGAATGGCTGTCAGTTGGCGGGACCCTGGATGTCAGGATGGGTCTTGTGCTGCCCTTTCTGTCTGCTCCTGGCTGACCCCACCCCTGTGTCTCTCCCTACAGTGTTTGAGTTCATGCCATACATGGGCATCACCCTGGCCACCATATTCACGATGCTGAGACTTGCCAACGAGTCCAAGATGCGCCAGGTGATCTGTGGAGGTACGTGTCCTGCCGACCCCGGTGGGGACATCATCTGTGACAGCGGACTCTTTCTCAGGCATCTGTTCCATCTCCAGTTGTGTGTGACTCAAAGGTCACAGCTGGATGGAAGAAGCTATTCCCAAGGCCCCTGGAGCTCAGTCTGCAGTTCAATATTTCAGGAGGGGTTTGTGGGAGTGTGTTGGGGGTCCCAGGACAATGTGCCCAAGGGGTGTAATTTGTGTAAGGCTCTCATGCTATTTACAAAGTGGCCACTGTGCTCAGCTGTTAACCAAAAGGCTGGGGATTCTAGTCCAGACAGAGGCACCACGCAAGAAAGGCCTGGTAATCCACTTCCCAAACACTAGCCACTGTAAACCCCGTGGAGCGCAGCTTTATGATGACGCACATGGGGCCCCCAGGAGTCAGAGTTGTCTTTAAGACAACCAATTCGGTGCTGTTTATGGCAACACTGGTGGTCAGTCCCATGCTGGAGACACAGGTTTGATTCCCAGTCAATGCGCTTCAGGCCCAGCTGCCACCCACAAGTCAGTGGAGGCTTGCTTGTTGCTGGACAGCTTTCAGCAGCGTTTCTAAGCTAAGATCAACTAGGAAGATAGCCCTGGTCATCTACTCCCTAAAATGAGTCAGTGACCTCACTGATTATGCGGGTGTCGTTGTTGTTGTTGTTGTTATGTGCTGCCGAGTCGGTTCCGACCCATAGCGACCCTGTACAGGGTTTCCGAGGGTGTAAATCTTTACGGGAGTAGAAAGCCTCATCTTTTCCCGTGGAGCGGCTGGTAGTTTCGAACCGCTGACCTTAAGGTTTGCAGCCCAATTCGTAACCACCACGCTACCAGAGCTCCTTATGCGGGTGTCATAGGACTGGGTAATTTCACTGTGTGTGGGGGTGGCTATGAGTCAAGGCCAACTCAGTGGCCGCTGACAACAATGACGTGCATGCTATTGAAGTCTGACCCCCTTGTCCAGGGCTAGCTTGATCACTTCATCTCTCTGGGATACAAGACCCTGGTGTCTTAGAAAAGATGCCAAGTGTATTTGCTGCCCAGAGCCCCCTGAGACATGTGTGGGGAAAGATTCATATCCAGGCCCTTGAGAGGACAGACTGGACACCTCTCTTGGGATGTGGTGCTGTAGGATCAGCACTGGACTGCTAACCTCAAGGTTGGCAGTTCAAATCCACCAGCCATTCCTCAGAAACCCTATACAGGGTAGCTATGAATCAGAACTGACTCGATAGCACTATATAACAACACACACAGGATAAAGACAGGGGAGACAGACAGACACAGATGGAATTTTTCCAGCTATGTACCTGTCTACCTCCCAACTTGCCTGCTATGGACACGTGAGGAGGAGAAAGTGGCAAGTAAGTGTCCATCTGTGCTCCCCCCCACCGGCTGTGGATGACTGCCTCTCCCACCATGGCAGCCATGGAGACCTTCTGTGAGACAGTCCAGTTCTACCTGAAACACCTGGAGAACAGTGTGTACCCCGTGATGACTGAGGAGCAGTTTGCCACGAAGCTCTTCCCCATGTACCGCTACTTTGTGACCGTGTGGCTGAGGAACGACAATCCCGAGGTGAGACATGTTCCTTCTAGGGCCCCAGCTCTCCCAGGCTTTGATGTCCCTGCCTAAGGGGCCGGAAGGACTCCGTCAGGAAGCAGTATGAGGCCCAGGGTGGTAGGGGCCTGGTCAGTGACCCATGCTGATGGGGATTCTCCAGAACCTGTTGTGGACCAGGTGGTCTTCTGAACAGCTTCCCTCCCTGAGCTGTGTGGTATAGGGCCATGAGTATCTACCCCTGTGTCACAGATGAGGAGACTGGGCACAGTGTCTTTGTTTCCGAGGGGTGACAGTAAGAAAGAAGTCCTCATGTGGCACTGTGGGTAAATGCACCAGACTGCAAAGTTGTTTGAACTGCAAGGTTGGCGGTTCAAGCTCATCAGCTGCTCCTCAGAAACCCTATAAGGGTTCCTGTGGGTCGGAACCAACTCGACGGCACTTCACAACAACAACAATAGTAAGAAAACACCATGATGGGTATTTTACACAGCAGAGGAGTTCTGGTGCGGAGCTGTAAGATCAGCACTGGACTGCTAACTGTGAGGTTGGCGGTTCAAACCTACCAACTGCTCCTTGGAAACTCTATACAGGGTCACTTTGAGTCAGAGCTGACTTGATGGCACTTAACAACAACACACAATAGAAATAGAATGTCTCACAGTCTGGAGGTCGGAGTCCCAAAAGCAGAGAGTGGGCACAGAGTGGTCAGGGCTCTCCGAGGCTCGAGGGGAAGGTCCCTGTTCTGTCTCCTCCAGCCCTGGGCAGCCGTGGGCATTTCTTGGCTTGTAGGTGGAGCCTGGCTTGCTTGCTCCCCGCTGTGTGACCCTGCTTCTGCACCTGTCCCTCACTTTGATAAGGTGCCACTCAGAAGGGTCCCTGGTGGTGCAGTGGGTGAAGGTCGGCGGTTCCAACCCCCTGGCTGCTCGGAGGGAGAAAGATTAGGAAGTCTGCTCCTACAGGGATTTACAGCCTGTAGGGCAGTTCTCCGCTGCCCTGTAGGACCTCTGGGAGTCACCATCCGCTTGATGCCTGTGGGGTTTTGTTTCTTGCTCTAATACAACCTCATTGAGCTTAACTGTTGGCAAAAGAAAACCCATATTTCTCAGCAAGGCCATGTTCCCAAGCACAGCAAGTCAGATGTCAGCTGACCATTGTTGTTGTTGAGTGCCATGGAGTCGGTTCCGACTCATAGCGAATCCATATAGGGTTTCCGAGGAGCAGCTGGTGAGCTTGAACTACCGACCTAGAAGTTCAAACGGCTTTGCAGTCTGGTGCATTAATCCACACTGCCACACAAGGACTCCCAGCTTACCATTATGGGGACAAAATTCAGCCCATAGTCCAGAGAGGTCAAGTCCTTTTCTGAGGTCACCAGGCTAGTAAATGACAGAGATGGACCCACCAACTGGGCTCAGGTAGCGTTCGATTCAACTTCTGAGCCCCTTTCTGTCCTTTGTCTTATGACCCGATGGGCCAGGCTGACATCGGTGGCCTTGCTGAGGGTCTGGGAAGATGAGTCTGAAGGCCCCATCTCCTGGCAGGTCAAGCTGGGGGTCATCAAGTCTCTGAAGCCCATTCTGAACCTCTTACTGCCCAGTGATGACCTTCGGGAGCAGGTCTATGACTACATCCCTCTACTGCTGGCCGAGTACCAGGGCAGCCTGGAGGCCCTCTTCATCACCCAGGTAAGCAAGGGGCCACCCAGGTGAGAGAGGTAGCCCAGGTGAGGGGGGGGGGAACTACCCTTCTGAGCCCTGGGCCTGGGCAGCCTCCTTGGTGCTCGGGCCTAGCTTGGGAGACTTGGGGCTCCGCAGTGACCAGGGGTGGTCTTTGAGATTCAGTGTCAGCTCAGGGGTTCTGGAGTGGGACCTGGGTCAGCATCTGTAACCACCTTGGGGTGGTGATGGTAGGACCACCTGTGTAACAGTAGCAGAATGGAAGGCATCTGGACCGCGGTGGGTGGGCAGTGTTCTGTCAGCAGTAGCCCACCTGCTGCAGGTCCTGAGGCAGATCCTAGAGGTCTCGGTGGTCACCAACACCCCCGTCCCACAAATGCAGCTGCACACCATCTTCACAGAGCTGCATGTGCAGGTGAGACCTGGTAGGGAGGGGACGGCATGAGCCCCGTGCATCCACTTGGGTGCCTCCCCCATACTACAGCCCCTGTGTGTGGCCTCACACCCTCCCTGCACATCTGCCTCCCCCAGGTGTGCGCCACCACCCGAGCCCAGCAGTACAGCAGCCAGAACCTGGTGGAGATTGGACACTGCTTCATAGCGCTGGGTAAGGTGGGCTTCACAGAGCTGGGTAAGGTGGGCTTCATAGAGCTGGGTAAGGGAGCTTCACATTGTTGGATAAGGTGGGCTTCACAGTGCTGGGTAAGGTAGGAGGAGTTGGTTTGGGCTTTTGGACGCCTGACTCTTCTGAGCTCCTGGCTCTGGATATGATGAGATTGGTCCTCCTCTCCACAGCCCGCTCCTACCCCAAGGAGCTGATGAAGTTCTTCCTCAGTCAGATGGAGACGAGCAAGGAGGCCACCCGTGTGGGGACCCTGACCTTGATCAAGGTGGTGGTGAGCGCAGATGGTAAGCCATGGAGGGGGTCAGGCAGGGACAGACACTTAGCGGGGATGGCTCACCTGTGTGTGGCATTATCTCCTAACTGGGGGTGGGGGATGGGGGTGGACAGGGCCACTGGTTCTTGGTTGCTTCCTATTTTCTACCCTTAGATGGACCAGCATTGTCAGCCCAAGTCTCTCCTTAAGCCCTAAATATCCACTTCCTTCAAGCTGTTAACCCGAACGCTAGTACCAACCCGCAGAGCTAAACCAAAGATTGAATATGAGACCTAATGATAGCACGCAGGGGGCCATGGTGACACAATGGTCAAATGCTTGACTGGTGACTGAAAGGTTGGTGGTTTGAACTCACCCAGCAGCTCTGAAGGAGAAAAGAGCAGGCCGTCTGCTCCCGTTAACATGAGAGCCTAGGAAACCCTATGGGACTGTTCCACTCTCATACGGGTCACCATAAGTTGAAACCCACTCAACAACACCCAACAACATAACACATAGGCATAAATCTAATGGTGAGGTTGGCACAGGACTGGACAGTGTTTTGTTCTGTGGTGCCTAGGGTCGCTATGAGTCGGTACCAACTCAATGGCACCTCACAACAATGTAAACCTGCTGTGGCGCTGTCGGATAAGCACCAGACCACAAGGTCAAACCCACCAACCACTCCTCAGAAACCCTATTAGGGTTGCTAGAAGGAGCTCTGTCAGTTTGTCTTACTGTGGTAGCTTACATGTTGCTGTGATGCTGGGAACTCTGCCAACGGTATTTTAAATGTTGGCAGGATCACCCTGGTGGACAGTTTTCAGCTGAGCTTCCAGACTCAGACAGATTAAGAAGGAGAGGTGATCCACTTCTGAACGGTTACCCACTGGAAACCATATGAATAGCAGTGGATCTGAATATGTGCACCAGAATGCTGAGTATGTGAGATGGGCCAGGGCTGGGAAGTGTTTTGTTCTGTTGTGTCTAAGATGCATGAATCAGAACCGACTTGACGGCACCTAAAAACAATATGAGTTGGAACCGAATCGATGGCACCAAGTAACAACAAATGTAAACCCAAAGTCTAACCACGAAGTCGGCTCACAGGGCACCTCTGTGTGAATTTGAACAAGGCGCCCTCTCTTGGCAGCATGTGGTACTGTGGATATGTGACAAGGAGGAGCATGTGGGCAGTTGCCTTCCAGCCTTTCTTTGACAAGTGCACCCACTGGGTAACTGTAGCTGAAGGCCCTTCCTCTAACATTCACCCTTCCATTGTTACTGTTTGGTGCTGTGGAGTTGGTACCGACTCAGCGACCTGATGCACAATAGAACGAAACACTTTCCGGTCCTGTATCAACCTCACAATCGTGGTTACACTTGAGCGCATTGCTGCTGCCACTGTACCAATCTACCTCATTGAGTGTTTTCCTCTTTTTGTTGACTCTCCACTTTACTTGCAAGGTGAGTGATGCCAACTCACCAGCCACTCCTTGGAATCCCTATATGGGATCACTATGAGTCAGAACCAACTTGACAGCACTTAACAATAACAACAACAACACACTATACCTAGCATGATGTCCTTCTTCAGGGACTGCTCCCTCCTGATAATATGCCCAAAGTATAAGAAATGAAGTTTTGTTGTCCTGGCTTCTAAAGGGCACTCTGGCTATACTTCTTCCAACACAGATGTTTGTTTTTCTAGCAGTCCATAGTACCCTTCCACTGTTGTTATTGTTAAGTGCCATGGAGTCAGTTCCGACCCATAGCGACTCTGTATAGGGTTTCTGAGGAGTGGATGGTAAGCTTGAACCACCAACCTTGCAGTTCAAACGGCTTTGCAGTCTGGCGCATTAACCCACAGCACCACACCAGGACTCCACCCTTCCATTTGTTGTTGTGAAGTGCCGTTGAGTTGGTGCCGACCCATAGCGACCCTGCATAGAGTTTCTGAAAAGCAGCTGGTGAGCTTGAACCACCGACCTTGCAGTTCAAACGGCATTAACCCACAGCGCCACACCAGGACTCCATTAGAGACTTGCAAATTTACGCAACAATGAGACCCTTTTCACCTATGGGATAGGCAGAGATGATAAAGATATGGCCAGAGTTGGAGGGAAGATGGCAAATGTCTCTCTGTAAAAGGATGGCTAGCTGGCTGTGTACTGTCAAGTTGGTTCTGACTCACAGTGAACCTTCATCTCCATGATTAACAGCTTCCTCTTTCTCCTGTGGAACACGTGGTGGATTCAAACTGCTGACCTTGCAGTTAGCAGTCCAAGGTGTAACCCACTAAGCTAGATAATAAAAAAGATTTTCAGCTTTGCAAGTCATGAAGTGTTACTCACAACTACTCAACTCTGCCATTGTAAAGCAAAGGCAGCCCCAGACGACACAGAGACTAACTCATGAGTGTGGCTATGTTCCAATGAGACTATCCAAATGGGCTTTGGCTGGACTTAGCCCATAGGCTGACTTTGCTGATCGTGGGCTGGACTTTGCCCAAGGTGATAAGAAACCAGTGCTTCATGTAACATTTAATGAAATATAAACGGATAAAACTTTCTCAGTGCTCAGAATAGACATGGACCAAAACTTGGTCTCAACAATTCAACATTTGGTCTATTGCTTTAAAAAAAAAAAAAAAAGTCCAAACAAACACTAGATCATTCCCCAGAGATGTTTGTTTTAACATTGTGATGAGAGCAGAACACAAGAGACAGTCCAAATGCTTTTCCCCAGGGAACCTGTGTACCAGATGGTAGCACAATAGATAGGACACCCTGCAGGTGTTTTAAAAGGATGGACTCAATCCATGCTTTTTCATGGAAAAACTGCCCTCTGTAGATGGAGTCCTGGTGTGGCAGTGTGGAGTAAAGCACTGTACCGCAAGGTCGATTTGATCAATAAGGTAGGGAATTCCAACACACCAGCAGTTTCTTGGAAACCCTCTACAGGGTTGCTATGAGTCAAAACCAACTTGATGGCACTTAACACCAACAATATAGTAAGTGAAATCCTGGCATGGTGGTGTAGGGTCAGCACGGGACTGCTAACAGCAAGGTTGGTGGTTCAAACCCAGCAGCTGCTCTTTGGAAACTTGACGGCACTTAACAACAACAACATATCTCAAAATACAACCTAATCCTGTAGATGGCATCCTGCCTCATTAACATATATACATCTACTCCCACCTCATTAATGTTGTTGTTGTTGTTGTTAGGTGCCATCAAGTTAGTACCAACCCACAGCGACCTTATGCACAGCAGAATGAAACATTGCCCGATCCTGGGCCAACCTCACTACTGTTGCCATGTTTGAGTCCATTGATGCTGCCACTTGGCCAATCCATCTCTCTGGGGGTCTTCCTCTTTTTCTCTGACCCTGCACCTTACCAAACACGATACTCTTCTCCAGCAACTGCTCCCTCCTGGAACACAGCTACATCTACTCCTCCCTCATTAACATAACTACATCTACTCCTGCCTCATTAACATAGCTACTTCTAGTCCTGCCTCATTAACATAGCTATATCTACTCCTGCCTCATTAACATAGCTACATCTACTCCTGTCTCATGAACAGCTTAAAGCTACTGTTACTGAGCCCCCAGAGTACAGCTGCCTCAAGGCCATACATCTCTATGGAAGCTGACGGCCTCTTCTGTCTCCTGTGCAGCGACTGGTGGCTTTGAGTGGCTGACCTTTCAGTCATCTGACAAATGAGACCATACTGAGAATCAGGGCTTAGCCAGGTTGACACATAGTTGGGGGCTGTGGGGACACACAGTTGAACCCATTACAGAAGGGTTACATAATTCTCACATGATGAGACATCATGAAGCCCAGATTCAAACAACAGGCAGTCTCACTCCAGAGTCTCTGCTCTCCAGGGCCCAGGATTGTGTTTCTAGCTGCAGGACATCGAAGGAGACCTTTGGCGGAAACCTAGTCCCTGAAGTCCCAAGGGAGGGAGCTGCATGGGTGTGTGAGGAAAGGGAGTGAGAAATAGGTTGGGGTCTCCTGAGGAAAGAGGCCCTGAGTTAATAGGGGAACGAGTGGGGATGTTGGGGCAGGAAGAAGGCCGAAGCCTGGGAGGATCTTCCTGAGGCTGTGATGGGAGATCATCACCTGAGACTTCGCTGAGCCTCCCTCGCTCCCTGAGTAAGATAGCGGGCAGACAGGCCTGAGGAGGCTGACTCGGTGGCTCTGCCTCTCCCTCTCCTGGGGTCTGTCTTCAGAGACCAGCCCTGAAGCCAGCAGCCTCCAGTGGGTTTTCCTCTTTCAGAACCCAAAATGAATATAAGAACTGTTTACCTGGCCATCAGGGTGGTCAAGAACAGCCTCTCCGATACCAGGTCTAAGGTAACAGGGCAGGGATGGGGCAGGGACACTATGCCAGGGTGTTGAGATCCTTGGGGCAGGTCTGGTCAGCTTTCTGGGGTGAAGACCCTCCCAGCCAACCTTCTCAAGCCAATATCCTTGACATTTTTTTGTTGTCATAGATATGCTAATTTGACGTTTCCCGGCTGTACAATTTCATGATATCTTGTTGGGCAACCATCACCCAACACCTTTGATAGAAAGCCCATCATCTCATCCTAGAGGGGAATGAGATGACCAAAAACTATGGTTTCCATTCTGGGGATCCCCTGTTCACCTGGGACCTGGAGTTTCCAGAGGATGCCTCTCAGGCACCACCTTGGGCAGAGAGGAGGCTGAGTGAATCCAGCTTCAGCTACGGCTGCTTGGCTGCTTGGGGTGTTAATAAGATTGGGCTTCATTTAGAAACATGGCTGAAGAATTTATTTTCTGCTCCAAACGCAGGGTTAAAGCCACCATCCCAGGCTGTACTGCAGCTGGCCCAACTTGGTGTGTGGCTCTGGTTTTGGGTGCTATTGAGCCATGATGGGTGCAGGGACAGGGAGGTCTGGTGGGAAAAGTAGGCACAGCGACTCTGAAGACAAGAACAAGTTTGTTCTGTATCGCCCCATATAGTAAATCGTATACCCTGAGCCCATGGGAGTCAGTGTGTGGGGTCTTCTTCTCCACCAGAGTTACTTACAACCCCGTGTCTCTCGAGTTCAGATGAGGCTCTTGGGTGAGGCTACTATAGGGCAGGAGCTAGGAGGTGTGAGGAGTAGGTAGAGTTGGCAGTAGGTAGGCAGCTCCTGGCCTCTTCGTGAGCATCCTCAATTCCTAGCTGTCCCTTGTCACCAGAGAACCTCCTGCCTCAGGAGCCCACTCCCACCCGAGCACTCCCACCATCCTGTCCCCTCAGGTGAGGATGGCCATTCTCCGTATCATCGGCCAGTTGGCACTTTCTGGCTACCAGGAGAGGATCAAAGCCTGGGCTCTGAAGTACGTGTCAATGCAGCTGACCTTGTCCACCTACAAACTGGTACGTGGCCTCAATACACAGGCGCTGAAGCAGGTAGTCTCTGCTTTTGTTCTGTTTCTTTAATTTTCTGTTGTGATTTGAGTGACAGATTACAGAACAAATTGGTTTTCTGTTCGACGATTCATACACATTTTTAAAGAAGCTTTTATTATGCATTGAGCGATAGTTTACCTGGGAGAACATCAGTTTTGCCCTCATCCTATCGTATTTCATATCATTGCAATGATTATAATCCCCTCCCTGCATCATCATTCAACAGTATTTGCTTCTATCCACCCCCCCCTTTTTTTTTTACCGATGTACACAATCACACAGGAATAGATAATCATTTAAACAATACAAGGGCACATTTTGTAATGTGCTTCCTGGCTGCCAACACACAACTTTTCTCTTCCCATGAATCTAGAGTCTTCAGCTGCTCTCTCTCTCCATGTCCCCATCTCTGCCTCCATCTCTGGTGTCACTGCTTGTGCTCTTTTCCCTTGATGGTCCTAGGGTCCTCTGTTTCTAGAATGTAAGATTAACTACTCCCCCCTTTATGTTACAAAATTTCTACCTTTACACTTGTGACAGTCACAATCAGTCTTGATAGCAATTATTCACTATTGAACCACAAGAGTCTTATCCCTATCTCCTTTCACCAGCCCCATCTAGACAGGTTAGAAATCACTCAGTGGAGAGTCTCCCTTCCCCCACCCTCTGAAACTAAACTCCCTCTTGAAAACTTGTAAGCCAGTCACTTCATGCCTTTGTAGCCTCTCCCCTATTTTAGATAGCTAATGTCTAAGTTGCACATCCCTGTCAACCTTGTGTACAGAGCAGATAGATATGTTTGATACTTGATATGAAAACTCCTTCCCTTGCAGTTGATATTTTGAGCAGCTACATCCATAAGTAAAGAGCTCTGGTAGCATAGTGGTTATGAGTCGGGCTGCTACCCTCCAGGTCAACCGTTTGTGACTACCAGCCGTTCCACAGGTGAAATATGAGGCTTTCTACTCACATAAAGATTTATACCCTTGGAAATCCTATGCAGGGTTGTTATGAGTCGGAACCAACTCCATGGCACACCACCACCACCACATCCATAAGTATAGGTCAAGTTCATCAAACCATAGCAATTTACATTTGTTCCTTTATCACATTTCTTTATCTTCCTCTAGTCGAGTTCTGATCATCCAGCCATTGAAGCTAGGTCAAATGGGTACTATCTGCAAGTTTAGGTGTTCTCGTGCATCTCCCCACTCCCCTCACTTCATATCAGCTGGACGCTTCACTCTTGGCTTTAGTCCTCTATGTCTGGGTCCTTGTCCATGGGCTCAGGAGTCGTATACATTTTGTTTTGTGAAATTTCTTGAAATCCCCACAATGCAGAGGTACTCTTCCCACTTCCCCTCTGTATTCGCCATTTCTACTCATTCTTCTTCCCTAACTCTTCCTGCTGTCTGAGCTTTCTCTCTAGGCAAATGCAGCCCTTTTGATCTGGTATGGTTGCTGTGGTTCACCGTGTAGGCCTGTCTATTACTTGGCTGAAAGTTAACCACAGTGGTGAGCTCTATTCCATGAAGGAGGACCAGGGGACACACAGGGTCCCATTAGGCTATATCGGACCAGTAAGCCTGGTCTGTTTTATGATTTTGAGTTTTGTTCCACATTTTTCTCCCACTCTATCCAGGACCTTCTCTTGTGATCCCTTTCAGAGCAGTTGGCAGTGGTAGCTGGCCACCATCTAGTTCTTCTGGTCTCAGGGTTGTGGAGACTGACGTTCCCACGATGCATTAGTTGTTTGAATGATGTGTTTCCATGCATCTTTGATTTTCTTCACTCTTCTTTGCTTTGATGCAAAGAGACCAGTAGTGGCACCTTAGATGGCCACTTACAAACTTTTAAGACCTCAGTCACTACTTACCACAGCAGGAGCGATGAGGAAAGCTAACCACTCAGTGTATCTGTACTTGAGCTCACCTGCACATACATCCATGACACAGGTAAACAGACACGTAACATGCCAAAAGGTAAACATTTGCACAGTCACATGGTCAGTAATATAGAATTCACTACAGAGACATGCCCAACATGGAGTCTCACAGAGACCCAGTGTCTGGGAATCGAACTCCATGGGAGTGAGGAGACCAGAGCAAGTCCCTATTTACCCACAAACAGGGGACCTTTTGGTCTGTCTTCCAGACAAATCGCCGGGAGAGCTTTTATCAAAGGGACTTAGAAGAGAAGATGGTCCACAAAGTCACCCTAGATACTGTGAAGATCATCACCTCCTCAGTCAGTGGAATGACCAATGTGAGTGACCCCCCTGCCCACACACACACACATGCCCCTCAAGCTGGTATACTGAGACCCGTGGGCCCAGCTCACGTCTGCACTGAAGCACCAGGCAGACGTGTGTGCACCCAAACTCCCCCATTCCCACTGCCTGGGGTGTCTATAGCATCTTCCTCTTTGAACCACTTGAAATCCTGTCTTTCAAGACCCAGTTCCACAGCCAGGTCTTTGATGAGAACTTACTCTAAATTTCTATATCCCCAAATGCCAGGGCAGTGCCAGACACACAATAGATTTTGATTTTTGTATCCGTTCCCTTAAAGCACCTCTAGTCCAGGTGTGTGGGGGAAGTGTAAAGAAAGGATTTTGACCGTTTCACTGCACACACATTTAATGAATTTCTACTAGGTGAAAGCTATGGGAACATATACTGAGGGGATTCAGAGATAAGACAACTCCAAGGAGTTCACAAGTTATAGAGGAGGCAAATGTGTCCATTTGTAATTGCAGTAAAACATGCCATAGTATAGGAAAAACTTACAAAGACAGCATCCAGGAGGGAATAATGTTTCATTAAGTGAAGCCATAGGTCAGATGATCTCTGTCCAGTGGCAGCTTACCTTAATGGTACAAACAGAATACCAACAGCAGCTACCCTCTGGTAGCGTAGTGGTTATGAATCGGGCTGCGAAACTTAAGGTCAGCAGTTCGAAACTACCAGCTGTTCCGCACGACAAAGATGAGACTTTCTGGTCCCATAAAGATTTAGTCTCAGAAACCCTGCTATGAGTCGGAACTGACTCCACGACACATAACCACCCCCACCACCCTCTATTGGTCATCTACTGATAACAGATGCAGAATCTCACTGAATTCTTCCAGCAACCCTATGAGGTAGGTTCTCTTATTGTTACTTTGATGTTTTAGATGAGGAAACTAATGCTCAGAGGGGCTCATTAATACATCAACAGACAGTGGAGTCAGATTAATATGATCTTTTCAACTCACCCAGAAGCTGGTGGATTCTGGTCTTGGTGTCTGAAATAGGTCAGACGATTGTACTTGTTAGTTAGTAGTACAGGAACCTCACCCCAAACTCTTAAGGGTGGGAGTGATGAAAAAGGGGGAAGGGTTAGCAGGGGGTGTACAATGACCATCTATAGAGAGATATGGTGGGAGATGGCATGCATTGAAGGTAAGGGGCTAGTGACATAGCTCCAAGATCCCAGATCCAAAGTCACCAGCAAGCACAGATGGGCCATGTGCAAGGACGAGCTCAAGAGGATTTGGAGTCAGAACTAGAGGACATGATGGTTGTGGAGTTTGTGTGAGGGAAGCAGGGACAGGGTGGTTAGGCCGAGGGCTTGCCAGGCTGTCCCATGTCCTATCAGCATTTAGCACTTAGATGTCCTGACAAAGACCAGTTTTGAGAGTAAGGCCAGTTGGGACTGATGCTTTGAGGGGCTGGTGGTAGGCAGATGCTGTGGATGGAGCTCCTCTTGGATGACCATGGGATAAAACCCTCAGCTAACCCTGGACTCATGTCCCCCACTGCCCCAGGAGTTTTGGGTGAGGCTCCTTTGCTACATCATGGAGACAGACTACACAGAGGCTCTGACACCCATCTGCATCAGTCTGAGCAACCTGGCAGAACGTCAGCTCCACGGCAAGGACACAGGGGCCAACACGACCAGCCGCAGCAGGCAAGGTGGGCAGCTCCCCAGTCCAGCTGGTGGGTGTGGCCGGCTGGCTGGCCTCCATTCTTTGGAGTCTTTCTTCCCATGCCCCTCACTCAGGGACTGAGTCCTACTGTGCTCTCTCCCCTGCAACTTTTCAGCCATCCCAACACTGCGGGGCTTGCTTTTTATGGACTATCAACTCCTAAAACCTTTGTAGGGAGGCAAGGGCCAGGAAGGACGCCTAACCACTGTTGGTCCAAGAGAAGCTAAGTTTTATGGAAGAGGAACATTGGCCTTCTTCATGGTGTTCTGAAAATAGCACCTTAGAAACCCTACCCTGTGAATATCCCTTTTCCCAGGATAAGTCCGTTACAAGGATATTCTTTGTGGGAAATCCTCTGGGTTGGCTCATTCTCCACCTGAGGGGGCAGTGGGGTCCTGATGTGGGAGGGAGCCCCTGGCAGAGTGAAGTCCCCTTGGTGTCACCGGGTCGTGTTCCTCTTTACAGTGGACCTGCCTGCACCGCAGAAGCTTCTGGCTCGGCTCCTGGTGAGTGGCTCACAGTGGGCAATGCCCCCTGCCTTGGAAAAGGCCATGCCCTGTAGTACCTCTTCCTTGAACTTCTAACTCCCCAGAACCTCCAGAGGGAACCAAGGTACACTGAGGGAGCAAGCCACTCGGTATGACAGAATTTTCTTGGGTATTTGTGGCAGGGGTAGAGTGCTTGGACAGTTGGGGAACTGGTGAGGGTCTGCTAGGTAAGGACCCCAAGGCATCTTTGGGACACTCCAGTGACCTGCTTCAGGGGTGGTCGCACTTCTTAGTCATGTGTCTGTGCACTTATACTGATGGTGGGTGCTAATACGTGCTCCCCTGAAACTGAGGTGGGCAAAGACCTAGAATCAGGCCCCTCCTGCCCTTTCCTCCCTACACTGAATGTCCTGTTGGTCCTCTGTGATGGTCCCTGGGCAGCCTGGAGGTCTGTTTGAAAAGCATCCATTTTGCCCAACATCTTCCTTTACAAGTGAGGCCAGTGAGGCTCCAAGTCAAGGACTGGGGGCGCCGGCAGGGCCCCTTAGAGTTCTGGTGCTTCTCCAGGTGCTGTTGGCATCCCCTTACAAGGGCGAAGGCCGCGGGGTCGCCATGCTCAACCTCCTGAAGATCCTGAGCCACAGCATCGCCCCCTCCATGGCTGACATGTGGGAGCTGGAGATCCCGCTGCTGGTCCAGTACCTGGAAGGTGAGGTGCCCAGGTGTGCCGGAGCCAACCAGTCACTCCACATCAAACTCCCCTCCATGCCAACCATCAACCATGCCCTCACACCAACCATGTCCCCGCATCAACCATGCCCCCCACACCAACCATGCCCCCCACATCAATCATCCCTTCCACACCTACGTTCAGGCAACGAGGCTCAGGTGGACTCATGAAGGAGTGACCTAGAGGTGGAGAGAGAAATGCCATGTGTGATGGAACCACGGGGTAGGGGTGGGCGTGGGAGAAGGCAGGAGAAAGCAGTGTGTGACGCCTTTCTTTCTGCAGAGCACACTGAATTCACTTGGAATCAGAAGACCTGGGAAGACAAGCTGATTCAGGTAAGGATGTGGCTGTGACTGCTGAGGCTGGATTTGAGGAGGAAAAGGTAAAGGATGGGTGGGCATTTGGTGGAATTGGCACGTGGGAAGTTTAGGAGACCCTAAAGGACATGCGCTCCCATTGGAGAACTCTGGAGAGCCTCAATCATGTCCCTAGTGGGGAGACGTGGGAGCACTTTCCACCCCAGGGAGGTGAATGCTCAGCAAAGCAACAGAGAGCTGATACCCTTTCCTCCAGCCCCCAGACCCACAGAGCACAGGGACTTTATGGGTGGGGGGTGTAGAGATTGGGAGAGACCCAACAAGGGCAAGCCCCCCACTCAAAGTCATGCAACATCCCATTGCCCTTGGTTTTGCTCATCGATGTCTCTGCCCTGCTCTTGCCCCAGTTTCTGAGACACTCCCTCAAGACGACTCGGGGGTCCAGGGGGTCCAGCTGGAGCTGGCGCCTAAGCAAGGAGCTGAACAACCAGATGGAGAGCTTCGACAGCCCCTCCCTTGAGAAGGTCCCTGCAGGGCAGAGGAGTTGGGATGGGGGATGACTCCAGGGAGGGCAGAGTCAAGAGAGTCACATTGTGTATGACTGCCAACAGGGTCCTGGAGGACACGTGGGTGGTCTGCTGTACAGTTTTCTAATACTTTCATTGTGGGATTATATTTTACAATCTTTCAAAAGTAGACTTGAAGGGATGGAGTTGTCCTAAACCAGGCTAGAGACTAAACTTCTGTGACAAAGAGTCCTTGAAACACATCGGCCTCAGGTAGACCAACACTGACTTACTACCCATCTATCAGTGTCCAGGCTGTCCAAGGCCGGTGGCGGCCCGTTCCTGGACATTGTCTGAGGACCCAGGTTCTGTCTCTTTTGTGACCTGGTCATTCCCTTGGTGTTGCCCTCGCCTACATGCTAGAAGGTGGGTCAGCATTTCGGCACAGGGAGAGGGGTGAGAAAGGCACACATGCACCATCATTATCTGGCCTAGACTGTAAACTCAGACACATCACTTCCATCCACACCCCACTGGGGAGAACTTGGTGATGCTCAGCTTTGGTGAAACTAGCAAAGTGTAGCCTCCTGCTGAGCAGCCATGGACCCTGCTACAAACAGACAGAGGGATGGATATCAGCTGGTGGACAATTAGAAGTCTCTCTCACACAAAGATTCAGAATCCCAAAGCCAAACATTATGGAAAAGATTGATATTTGATCAAATAAGTATGCTAAAACTTCTGTGTGACTAAAGATCCCACTAATGAAGTTCAAGGTAAAACGATCACCTTGGGAAAAACATAAAACAGACTAGGAGTCCCTGGGTAGCACAAAGGGTTAAGTGTTCAGAGACTAGCCAGGAGGTTGGTGGTTTGAACCTACCTAGTGGCACCTTGGAAGACAGGCCAAACAATCTGCGTCCAAAAGGTCACAGCTTTCTTGTTCTGTGGGGTGCACAGGGTCAGTACTGGACTGCTATATATACAGGTTAAGTGCGGTCGTGTCGATTCTGACTCTTAAAGACCCTGTTAAGGGTTTCTGAGGAGACGCTGCTGGGCTTGAATCACTAACCTTGTGGTTAGCAGTCCTGTGCTGGCCCTGCAGTGCCACACCAGGACAAGTCGGTTCTGACCCATAGCTACCCTGTATGGGTTTCTGAGGAATGACTGGTGAGTTTGAACTGTCGACCTTGTGGTTCAAATTGACCTTGTAGTCCAGCGCATTAACCCACTGCACCACACCAGGACTCATATATATATATTGTTGTTGTTAAGTGCCGTGGAATCGGTTCTCTCTCTCTCTCTCTCTCTCTCTCTCTCTATATATATATATACATATATATATGGTATAACATACAATATATAATGTATAATCCATAGTACATAATATGGGGTTTTGAGGTCCTGGTGTAGCACTGTAGGATAAACACTGGTTTGCAAACTGCAAGGTTGGTTGTTCAAACCCACCAACCACTCCTCAGAAACCCTATACAGGGATGCTATGAGTCGTAATGGACTCATTGGCACGTAATAACAACAACAACAACAACACAGACCAAAAGATCACAACCTTGATCTGTTCTACTCTGTCCACATGAGGTCACCATGAGCCGGAATTGACTTGAGGACAACCAAGAACAGCAAATAGAATAAGTATTGTTGCCTAGAATCATGCCATCCAACAACCTCACGTAGCTACAGAGCACCTGGACCTTGCTCAGTGAGTCTGAGGAAGTAATTTCCATTTTAATTAATTTCAGTGGAGGCAGTCCCATGTGTCTAATGACTACCTCACCAGACGGCACAAACACAGCACATGTTCATCATTGTACTAAGTCCTATAGGGCAGTACTGATCTAGAATATAGAAAGAATTTCTATAAAACAGTAAGAACGAGGCAGATAAGGAAATAAAATAGACAAGCAGTTTGAACAGTGACTAGAAAAAATGCAAAGACAAGTCATGGTAAGAAAAATGTTTGGTAAAGTGGAGGGTCAGCGCAAAACAGGAAGACCCCCAACAAGATGGAAAGACACAGTGTCTGCAACTATGGACTCGAACTTGATTGTGAGGATGGTGCTTCCTTCTGTTAGAAACGGGGCCTCTATGAGCCAGAACCAACTCAACAGGAACCCTAACAACAACAAATCAATCTTAAAATGTTCTGACAAGACAAAATCACCATGAATGAAGTCAAAAGGGAACTAAGATGCTGCAGAACCCCCCCCCCCCCCTAAGAATGGCCTATTAGTTGAGGTTTCTGTAAGGTGGGGGTTAAGAAGGTGAGGTCTGGAATATGATTGTTGTCGTTAAGTGCCGTCGAGTCAGTTCCGGCCCATAGCAACTCTGTATAGGGTTTCCAAGGAGCGGCTTGTGAGCTTGAACCCCTGACTTTGTGATTCAAACGACTTTGCAGTCCAGCGCATTAACCCACAGTGCCACACTAGTGGCTATAAATCCAGGTCGTGCCACCTTCTGGTGAGGTAACCTCTGTATGCCCTCCTTTCCTCTATTTGCTTTATTGATTTCTCATGAGGAATAAATGCAATGATAGATGCTTGGTTTTGTTATTTTTCCAACCATATAAACCCAAATCACTGCCATCGAATGACTTTTGACTCACAGCAAGCCCGCTAGGGTTTCTGAGGAGGCTGTAAACCTTTACAGGAGCAGAAGGCCTCATTTGTTCTTCAGTGGAGCAGCTGATGGGCTTGAACCACTGACCTTTGGCTAGCAGCCCAGTGGGTCACAACTGTCCATTGTGCCTACGGTCCATGAACTGGGTCTCGATGTGATGCAGCAAGGAGGACAGTGACAATTTATCCTGAGCGCTCGTCTGAGCTCTGCCCTTCAGGATAAATAACGTGACTATTTCTTTTAAAGAACAGACAACTGTTAGGAAGCAGCTTCTCACCACTAGAGAATTTGGCTCGAGGCTGAATGCCAATAGAGGACGAGCCAGTTTATGTTGTTGTTGTTGTTGTTGTTGTTAGGTGCAGAGGAGTCGGTTCTGATGCATAGAGATCCTGTGTAGGGTTTTCAAGGAGCAGCTGGTGGGTTTGAACTGGTGATCTCATAGTTAGAAGCCCAGGGCTTTTCCTACAATGTCACAACGGAAGTATGGATGGAGTTACGTCAACGAGATTCTCTCTTGTGAAGTTGTACTCGGAGGGAGACACAGGAACCAAAATTATAATCATAACAAAGAACATGCAACAAACATAGATATCCATGCATTTTCTTTTTCTTTCTTTCTTTTCTTTCTCTCTCTCTCTCTCTCTTTCTCTCTTTCTTTCTATTAAGCAGAAATTTTATTTCCAAGCTCTTCAAAGATTATCACAAACAACACAAAAAACTTATAAAAGCGTCCCAAATCAAATCAAAGGCATAGCAGTAAAATAAAACACTTATGATGTTAAATATATATTCTTAGGTTGTAATATTTTCACTAACTTTAACCATATTTAACCATTTGCAATGTTGTGTAGGTCATATTTTAAACTTAAAAAAAAAAAAAAAGCTTTTATTGTGAATTGAGTGAAAGTTTATCATGTATTTTTTTAAAAGCCTGGAGGAATATGTATTGAACTCCCAGGAGCGGCCTGACGCCTCTTCTCTCTCCCTGTGTGTCTCCGCAGGCCTTTCTGTACCGGGCTCTGGGCTTCACCTTGGCCATGGGCCTGGAGGCCGACAAGGTGGAGGTACTGCTGCTTGAACTGCTTTATAAGACGGATTACAGCAACGACTTTGACCGGGAGGTGCGGGGAGACCCGGGAGGGGGGACTGAGAAAGTGAGCAACAGACCTGCGCTCCTCTGCTCACCTCTCTCACCCCGCTGCCTGGCTGGTCCTCTGCAGGGCGTCATTCTGTGCTTCGGCCTCTGCGCCAGGGGCCAGGTGAAGCCGGTGTTGAGCGTGCTGCAGGACTTTGAAGAGAGGATCCAGGAGTCGGAGCAGACCTGGCAGATGGGTGCTTGGCGGGTAAGACCCCTGGCTCCGTAGCCAGGTTTCCGGAGCCTCTTAGAACGAAGCCCCCCGCCCCGCACCTGTCCTAGTCTTCAGTGACGCCATAGCACAGATAACCACAAGGGGGTGCTGTACAGAACAGACACTGGCTTTCTCCCAGTTCTGGGCTCAGCTATGCTAATTTCTTCCTTGTGGGTAACCCGAGCATCCTTTGGTTCCTCTGTTTGTAGACGAACCTCACATGGCATCTCTTTCCCCCTATGTGTGCCTCTGTCTACTCGGCTTTTTTTTTTTTTTTTTTTAAATAACTCACAAGTAATTAGATTTGTTGTTGTTAAGTGCCGTCGAGTCGATTCCGACCCATAGTGACCCTGTATAGGGTTTCCGAGGAACCGCTGGTGAGCTTGAAACGCCGACCTTGCAGTTCAAACGGCTTTGCAGTCTGGCACATTAACCCACAGACCCACACCAGGACTCCAACAAAAATATGGAACGCTTCACGAATTTGTATTCGTGATTAGATTTAGAAGCTACCTGACTCTGGTATTATCTAATTAACATAACAAAGAAAGCCTTGTTCTCAAATGATTGCTTATATCCACTAGTGCATTGCTGTTACATGTTAAATGAGTTGGTTCTGACTTACAGCTGGTCCTGGGCCAGCCTCGCAGTCTTTGCTCTGTCTGAATGCATTGTTGCAACCATGGTATCAGTCCATCTTGTTGAGAGTCTTTCTCCTTTTCATTGACCCTCTACTTCACCAAACAAGACATCTTTCTCCAGGGACTGGTCCTTCCTAATAACATGTCCAAAGTATGTGAGATCACTTCTCACCACCGTCACTTCTATAGAACATTTTCCAAGATAGATTTGTTCATTCTTTGGGCAGTTCATGGTATATTCAATGTTCTTTGCCTATGCCATGACTTGACAGCATCAACTCTTCAATGGTCCTCCATATTTATTATCCAGCTTTCACATGCATAGATATAGGAATTAGGATTCCAACACATAGTTTGGATAGGACATGAGTAAATCCATTAGATTACCTAAGCAGAGCTCTCATTGTGATTGTTGTTGAGTGCCATCGTGTCGATTCTGACTCTCAGCGACCCTGTGCACAGCAGAATGAAACACTGTGGTCCTTACCATCCTCACAATCATTGTTAAGCTTGAGTCTTTTGATACTGCCATTGTGCCAATCCACCTCATTGGGGGTCTTCCTCTTTTTCTCCAACTCTCCAAATCTGTTTTTTAGATGGTCTCTAAATTCAGGTCAGATGTATTCAAGGTCATATTTTGCTCTTGTATATTTGTTTTAATTTTCTTCAGACTTAGCCTGAACTTGCTAATGAGCAATGGATGATGTGTTTCACAGTCTACCCTTGACCTTGTTTTGACTGATAATATTGAATTTTTTCACTGTCTTTTTTTCATAGATGCAGTCAATTTTTTCCCTGTGATTCCAAGATCTTTTGTCTTGCTTTAAAAAGATATTTACATTGAAGAAGTCGTTGGTCTTGTAAAATTCTGTCATGCTATCATCTCCATATCATTTCTATCACCAAGGCCATACTTTTCAACTGCCAATCCTTCCTCTTTTTTCCAACCTTTGCATCTCAATAACCAATAGTTATCAATGCATCTTGATTGAAAGTTTAAACAATTTCAGACTGAAGAAGATGGTAGAATTCTTCCATTTCCTCATCACTGGTTTTAGTGGTTTGTGCATAAATTTAAATAATAGTGGCATTAATTGGTCTCCTTGTAGGCGTATGGATATTATCCTATCACAGACAGCATTGTACTTCAAGATAGATCTTGAAGTGTTCTTTGTTGATGAGGAATGCAACCCCATTCCTTTTCAATTTGTCATTCCTGTCATTGAAAACCACATGAGTGTCCAATTCACAATGGCCAATACCAATCCATTTCAGCTCACTAGTGCCTCGGATTTCTATCTTTATGCATTCCATTTTCTTTTTGACAACTTCCAAATTTCCTAGATTCCTAAATCTTACATTCCATATTCCGATTATTAATAGATGTTTATAGCTACATCTCATTTTGAGTTGTGCCCTACCAGCAAATATAGGTCCCAAAGATTTTACTCCATCTGCGTCATTATGGTCAACTATGCGTTGAGGAGGCAGCTCTTCTCCAATCATGTTTTGGGTGCCTTCCAACCTGCGGTGATCATGTTCTGGCACTAAATCTTACAATATTCTGATGCCATTCATAATTTTTGGCACTATATATGCTAATGTTCTGCTATTATTCATAAGATCATCAGTGGCTACCCATTCAGAAACAGTCCACCTCTTCTTCTTACTGTTGTTGTTAAGTACCGTCAAGTCGGTTCCGACCCATAGCGACCCTGTACAGGGTTTCTGAGGGTGTAAATCTTTACGGGAGTAGAAAGCCTCATCTTTCTCCCGCGGAGCAGCTGGTAGTTTCGAACCACTGACCTTAAGGTTCACAGCCCGATTCGTAGCCACTATGCTACCAGAGCTTCTTCTTACTAGTTTGTGTTAATCTGGAAGCCCCACTGAGATCGGTCTACGGTGGCATAGCTTACAGCATCACAGCAACATGCACGCCACGACAGCATGACAAACTGACACATGAGTGGTGGATTTTGTCTGTAGCATCCTTAACATTGCAAGTTGAGGTTTGAATTTTTTCTTCAGTTCTTTCAGCTTGAGATATGTTGAGTGCGTTCTTTCCATGTTAATTTCCAATGCCAGGTCTTTACACATCTCATTATAATACCTGACTTTGTCTTCTGGAGCTGTCCTTTGAAATTTTTCTGTCCATCTCTTTTACTCCCTCATTTCTTCCTTTTGCTTTAGCTTCTCTACACCGGAGAGCAACTTTCAGAGTCTCTTCTGAGGTCATGATGACAGGGTTCATTAAGTAAGTTAATACATTAAAATTCAGGATCAGAAATGTTCAGGAGACAGCTCTTGGTTCAGGACAGCCTCTTCCCAGCCATGTCCACAGAGCCATACTAGATCTTAGTAAGAAATTCCCCTCCAAATCTCCCATCACCAAAATGATTGAGATCTGAGACCTCCCCTGATGTGGCGTGACCACTTCCCTGCCCCCCCCCCAATGTTTTATTGTGAATTATGTGATAGTTTAAATGGGAGAACTTTAACTTTATATTCATCCTATCATACATCATTTCATTGTCATGGTTACAATCCCCTCCATGCATCATCAACCAACCAAAGGGTACATCCTGCAAGCCTGCTCCCTGGTCATCAGCACACAGCCCCTCTCCCTCTCTGGGTCTAGAGTTCCCAGCTGCTCCATCTCTCCACGTCATCACCTCTGTCTCCATCTCTGGCATCACTGTTTCTCTGGGTAGGGGGCATGACCACTTTTGCTGTTGAGTAATCTAAAGAGTCCAGATGACCTCGATACCAAAAAAGGGTCCTAGCCCTCACTGCTCACTGTGGGCTCCTCAGACTAGCAGTGTGGGCATCTTGAGGGCTGTTGTTATTAGCGGCCATCTTATCAGCTCCTGATTTGTGGTGAATCCACACACAGTGGAATGAAATGCTGAGGTTCTGTTTGGTGGCTGCTAAAAGGACATGGGGGTATAATCTGCCCTCCTCTGACTTTACAAGGGGGGAAGTTGAAGAATCACCATCTGCATCAGCCCAAGGCCGGGTCCTTCGAGGTGCAGGTCTGGCGTGTGTCCTTCCTACAGCATTCTCCACTGAGTTGGACCACACGCACGATTACAGGTTTACTAGGGAAGGGGACAGCTGCTCTGTCTTGTTCTCCATCTTATGTCCAGTGCCTGGCGTGTAGCCGGTGCTCAGTGAGATGTGTTGAATGAATGAATGAATGAATGAATGAATGCTTCAAGGAGAGGCCAAGGGTCTGGCTGTCCCCCACCCAGAAAGCAGTCAGTTGGAGGACCTTCAGGCCACTCAACAGCTCCTCTGGTCCTCCTGTGGCCCTCCCTCCCAGACGGACATGCAGAACAGAGATCCTGCCTCCCCCAGTGGCTCTCCCCACCTTGTTGCCCCACAGAAAGACCACCTCTGGAGGCGGGAAACCGTGAAGAGTGCCCTCATGGTCATGTACAGCTATGTGGCTGCTTACTGCCACCCACAGATGCTCCTCACCTACGTGGACAGCCCCATCACCACCAAGATCATCCATCACTACTGCTCCAGCAGCTGCCAGGTACTCGAGCTCTCCGATTCCACCAGAGACACTCCGGACGTTCCGGAAGCCCACTGTCCCAGCCTGGGCTATTCTCTGTGCTTCAGAGCAAAGCAAGAGCGGCAGGCAGCTTCTCTCCTGACCCTGGACAAAGTGCATCATGGGGAGTCCACCTCTCCCTTCCTCCGTCCTTCCTGACAGCTGGCCCTTTTTTGAGGGACAAGGATAGGGGTTGTCTTAAAGGAAATGCCAAGGATCTGGCTACTTCCTCGGAGTGGCCAGGAGGAGAGGACACAGAGAATGATACAGCAATAATTTTGTCTTCATAAACGATTGGCCTACTGGCTCCTAGCCCTGGGCTGTGAGCAGGTGCTCAGTTGGGTATGCTGAAGGAAGATGAGACTGCATCTCACTAACAGCCCCAGCGTTAAACCCCTTCTCCAGAGCAGAGTCATCATTCTTCTTTATAAGGAAGGGGGGCCCTGGAGTGGGTGCTGGCATCACATCATGGGGGTGCCCTCACAAATGTGCTCTTCTCTCTCCCCCGCTTGCTGGATCTGGGCACAGGATGTCACCCTCAAGCTGGCCTTCATGAAGAGCATTGTGCAGGTCACTAGTGCCGTCCAGAGCATGGAGTACCTGGGAGATGTTCAGTTTACCCAGAAGGCCACTGTAACCAGCATTGTAATGGTGAGTGGGCCAGGCACTCCCTTTACTCAGGGTGGTTTGGGAGTCAAACCCTCCACTGCCCAGCGTTCCTGAGGTCAGTCTCTCATTATATCCAAGGGAGCCCGGGGGACAGGGACGTGTGGGGTCTCGGAAGCCCCCATTTCAGTTCTGCTTGGTTCTGAATGCAGGAATCCTGAGTTTGGGTTCTGTAGCATATTAAAGCTTTCACAGTCAAGAAAAGCTTTAGGAACCAGGGCTGAAGAGTCAGGTCCTCTCAGGCCCTGTAGTGACCAGAGTGGCTATTCAGGACCTGGCCCACGAGATCACACGAGTCAGTGCAGCCATCTGTACCAGCAGTATCCATGGGAGGCACTTGGCAAGGCTCCTCTGGGAGTAAAACCGAGAGCTGCATTTGCTCAGAACTTTGGTAAGATGGAGACCATCTGCCATCCTAAGGCAGAAAGAGATGACAAGCTTTAAGAAAGTCTGTAGGGTCTCCACACCCCTATTGCCACCCCACCACCTCTGCATGTCACTGCTGATGGCTTGGCCACTCTGGAAACTGCTGGCAACTGTTAGCAACAGTCCACAAGGGATGTGAGATGTGGATGGAACAAGAGGCACCTGGAAAAACAACAACATTGATTTGCTCCTTCTTAGATCAGGAAGCTACACGTGTAATTTCAGTCACAGCCCTCCAAAACAGGTCCCCTAAGACTCTAATTTATAGAAAAGGGGGTTGGGACACAGGCAGGGGGAGTCATTCCCACCCCTCCCTCCTCCCCCCCCCAATGACCCACAGCATGAATTCAGTTCCATCTCGAATCCTGCTTTTGACATGAAATTTTCTGCCTTCCTTCCTTAAAGTTGCCGAATGCATAGAAAAAAGCAAAGAGCAGGGATGCAGGGCACTTAGCATATGTCAGTTTCTCCTGCTGCCATCACTGGTCACTGTTGGTCAGAGCCCTCTGGGTGGCCGGCAGCTCATGGCCTGCTTGTCCCTGGCAGGGGATCATCAAGGGTGAGTCGGCCAACAACCTGGATTCTCCCGTGCGGACCGTGGCCATGGATGCCCTCATGCACCTGAGGTGAGCTGGGACCCTGCCCCTACTCCTGAGTCTCCTGGGCAAGGGGCTAAGTTGAGACCCTCCCTGGGATCCCCTGGGATTGGCACCACTTTGGGTCTCCCTTGCCTCTGTAGCAGGGGTTGCATCTTCCCCACTCTCAGGGAACTGGGCCAGCCAAGAAGATGGTGGTCTTTCACCCTGCTGTTATAGATAATTCTCAGCAAGATTTCATGCTCCAAGGTGACAAAGACCACTCTGAGAGATCAAAATGAGGGTCCTGAAAATTCAGTTTCAGCAGCTGTTTCTTATTTTTTTTATGAAAGTATTCCTGTAGCTACTTACAGCAACGAAAGTGGTTTTACTAAGTCCATTTACATATACTAATATACCTACAAGGCTAAAATGCTATGCTGACTTACTTTTTGAATCCTTGGAGTCCTGGTGTGGCATGGATAAACACTGGACCTCAAGGTCGGTTTCAACCATAAGGTCAGCAGTTCAAACTCACCAGCCGCTCCTTGGAAACCTCCTTGGAAACTGGGCGGCTATGAGTCAGAACCAGCTCAACAGCACTTCACAATAACAATATTGTCACTATTGTTAAATCACAATGAGCCTTTGAATTGCGTGGTTCTTTGCACTCTATACAAGGAGGCATTGTTGTACTTATAGGTGGTTCTGTTAGAACTGCTGGCTTTGCCCCATCTTCTGGTGGTTTAGCTACAACACTGTGGTAATTAGTATTTACAAACTGATATCAACAAATATTTTGAGAATGAAATAATAATTAACAGAAAAGGAGAAAGATTTTAAATGGCTTCTGCTCAGTGACTAATAATGATGTAAGAAATAATGCAATTCAATGCAGAGATTTTTGAATATTCATACAGTCTAAGAAATACTACATTTAAGCCATTTGCCACTATATTTACCGCATACTAGTTTAGGATTATGGAAGGCATCACAAATGTGCCTGTCATCCTTGCTCAAGGTCGGTGGTTCAAACCCACCAGCCGCTCCTCGGAAACCCCACGGAAGGTTGCTGCGAGTCGGAACTGACTCAACAGCATGTAACAACAACAAAGTCTAGGATTAAATTTGCTGATAAACGTTATTAAGGGTTCAGTGTGGTCTGGTGTGCGAGGAGGGCCGTGGTGGGGGGTGACTCTGAGTTTCTAGGATGGGAGATACCAATCCTAGCGACACCACTGAAATCAATGCTGCTGACCCAGGGAACACATGATGAAAATCTGAAAGCTCCTGGGCTAGGACTAACCTAAGGGACCCTGGTGGCACAGATGTTAAGCTTTCGGCTGCTAACGGAAAGGTTGGCAGTTTGCACCCAACCTGTGGCTCTTTGGGAGAAAGAACTGGTCTTTCCTGTAAAGATTTCATCTTAGGAAACCTTATGGGACAGTTCTAGTCTGTCACGTGGAGTCATTCTGAGTCAGGGTGGACTCGATGGTACCTAACAACTACCACAACAAAACAAGCCTGGGAGGGTCACGCTCTATCATTGACCAAGAAGGTGCACTGGAGTGCTACTGAGCCAGGATCAGCAGGCTCATGGAGGCAACTGCAAGTCAGAGACGTGGCTGTGGAGTCCTGGGTCTCTCTCTCAATCACTGGGATGCTGCTGGTGGTTGGCAGAGCCAGGGCCCCTGGGGAGTGGGGCATGGGAACACAACTCCCCACCTACCTCTCCTCCTCACTGCCTCTCTCCCCAGCAAACTGAAACCTTTCTACTCTGTGGAAGAAAACAGTGAGCTGATGGACATCAGCATACAGTCCGTCATTCCCCTTCAGCCTCCTGCAGAAGATAGTGACTCCATTAAGGTAGGTTCCTCTGGGCCACCATATTTTCTGGGTCAGGAACCTGCCACTCAAATGGCCCATGCTGACTGTCCATTTTTCAGAGCCCCCAGTGGTGAGAGGCAGCAAGGTGTGTGTGTGTGTGGGTCTAATAGTGATTGTAAGGTAATACTAGGGTCCCTGGTGGTGCAATGCTTAGGTGCTCAGCGGTTAACAGAAAAGTTGGCAATTCAAATCCACCAGCGGCTCTGCCGTCTGCTCCCTTAAAGCTTCCAAGCAAGAAAACTTAGGAGCTAGTTCGAGTCTGTAATACAGGGTCACTAAGAGGCGGAATCAGCCTAATGACATCAAACAGCCAGGTAATGCTAGCTGCTGTAACAGGTAAACCCTGAACTCTCAGCAAAATAAATGTGCTTCTCACTCAAGTGAGGTCCAATTTCCAGTGAGGGTAGAGGTGGAGCTGCTTTACAGAGGAATCCGAGTTGATACGGGCTCACTGTTTCCTCTGTGGGTGTTGATATCCATTCTAAAGATAGAAGAAGAGAAACAGCATGCGGGGAACATATGGACCAACTTACCTATCTCCCTGGAGTTAGAGAACTGAAAGAGAACACGCTCAGCATTTCTCAAGCAAATGGAACTGTAGATAAAATTCAAGTCTTGACTTGTGGTATCGAAGGATTCTCTGGACAAATTATTGAATGATGCAGAAAGAATCAAAAGAAGATGGAAGGAATACACAGATTCACTGTACCAAAAAGAAATTGTTGATTTTCAGTCATTTCAAGAGGTAGCATATGATCAAAAGCCAATGGTACTGAAGGAAGAAGTCCAAGGTACACCGAAGGTTTTGGCAGAAAACAAGGTTCTGTGAATTGATGGACTACAAATTGAAATCTTCCAACAAACTGATGCAGCACTGGAGGCACTCACTCATTGATGCCAGGAAATTTGGAAGAACAACTGATTGGCAGAGATCCATATATGTGCCGTTCCAAAGAGAGGTGACCCAACAGAATGTGGAAATCATCATACAATATCATCAATATCACACGCAAGGAAAATTTTGCTAAAGATCATTTAAAAACAGCTGCAACAATACATTGATAGAGAACTGCTAGAGGTTCAAGCTGGATTCAGATGAGGATGTGGAACGAGGGATATCATTGCTGACGTCAGATGGATCTTGGCTAAAAGCAAAGAACACCAGAAAGATGTTTACGTGTGCTTTATTAACTATGCAAAGACTTTCAATTGTGTGGATCATGACAAGCTCTGGACAACATTGTGGAGATTGAGCATTCCGGAACACTTAATTGTGCTCATGAGGAACCTGACCATAGACTACAAGCAGTTTGTTTGAACCAAACAAGGTAACACTGAATGGTTTGAAATTAGGAAAAGTATGCTCTGAGACTGTATTCTTTCGCCATACTAATTCAATCTGTTTGCTGAGCAAATAATTCAAGAAACTGGATTTTAGGAAGAAGAACATGGCACCAGGATTTGAGGAAGACTCATTAATACCCTGAAATATGCAGATGATACAACCTGGTTTACTAAAAGCGAAGACGACTTAAAATACTTACTGATGAAGATCAAAGACTACAGCCTTTGGTATGGGTAGCACCTCAATGCAAAGAAAACAAAAATCCTCACCACTAGACCAATAAATAACATCAAGATAAATGGAAAAAAAGATTGAAGTTGTCATAGACTTTTTTGACATTTTGCTTAGATCAACTATTAACACTCATGGAAGCAGCAGTCAAGATATCAAACAACATATTGCATTAGACAAATCTGGTGCACAAGAGCCAAGATGTCAGTTTGAGGATTAAGGTGCATCTGATCCAAGCCCTAGTATTTTCAATAACTCATATGCATGTGAAAATTGGACAATTAATAAAGAAGACTGTAGAAGAATTGATGCATTTGAATTATGGTGTTGGAAGAGAATATTAAATGTACCATGGACTACCAGGAGAACAGACAAGTCTGTGTTTTTTAGTACAGCCAGAATGCTCCTTAGAAGCCATGATGGCCAGACTTCATCTCTCATACTTTGGATATATTATCAGGATGGACCAGTCCCTGGAGAAGGACATCATGCTTGGTATAGTGGAGGGATGAAGAAAAAGAGGAAGACCCTCCCAAGGAGATTGATTGGCACGGTGGCAGCAGCAAAGGGCTCAAGCGTGGCAAGGATTGTGAGGTTGGTTCAGGACCAGGCAATGTTTTGTTCTGTTATGCATAGGGTCGCTATGAGTCAGTACTGACTCAATAGTACTAGTAACAGTAGTATCATTGGCCATGGAGTCCTGGTGTGGCACAAAGTCGGTTTGAACTGCAAAGGTCGGCAGTTGAAACCCACCATCCACTCCTCAGTAACCCTATACATGGGTGCTATAAGTTGGAACTAACTCTATGGTACTTAACAACAGCAACAATACTGGCCATAGCTTAGTCACATGGGCCAATGCAGATGCAAAGGATTCTGGGAAATGTAGTCCCTGTCTAGATCATTGTTTTCCATGAATGTGGAAGAGGCAGACACGTCTTTTGTGGACAACCAACCATCTCTGCCTCAAGGATCTGATAAGGAGAATTGAGTAGGCTCCAGGATTTCATTCAGGCTCCTCCTTTTTAAAATGGTGCTTCTTGAAAGATGGCCTGGTCCTTCCCATTGAAATTACAAGATTGCAATGATTGGAGTCCTGGGGTGGCTTTGTAGGATAAAATACTGGATCGCAAGGTCAGTTTGAACCACAAAGCTGGTGGGTCAGACTCACAAGCCTCTCCATGAAAATCCCTATACAGGGTCATCATGAGTCAGAACCCACTCACTGGCACTTAAAAACAATCAACAAGCTCTGAAGAGAGTGGAGTTCCGGTGTGGCTCTGTAGGATAAGCACTGGACTGCTAACCATAAGGTCAGCGATTCAAACCCACCTGCTGCTCCTTGGAAACCCTACACAGGGTCACCGTGAATCGGAACTGACTCGACAGCACTTTATAACACTAAGCTCTGAGCTAATGGGTGACTTTGGTCTTCACTGCCCAGTCTCCCCTTCTGTTGGCTGCAGATCCTGTATGCAAATGCCATGGGCGCCCTGGAGCAGCTGATGGAGGGTCTCATGAAGCGACAGCTGGACCCCAAGGGGCTGCAGGAGATGGTGCATGTGAGTCGCCTCTGCTATCCATTCCCTGAACCTGGTTGGAGGGTCCAACTCTCTGTGGGGAGCAGAGGTTTTGGTCATTCTACTAGTTTCCCACAACAGCCTTAGGAACTTCCACCCAAACTGGGTGGCCAATGAGAATAGAGATGTATTTTCTTTCAGGTCTAGAAGCTGGGACTCTGAATTCAGGGTGTCACCAGGGTCATGCTCCCTCTGAAACCGCTAGGACTTCAGGCTCCTCCTTTGTAAAATGGAGAGGGCTTCTTATCTCGTTCAGCTTCTGGCAGCCCCTGGCATCCCTTGGCTTGCAGCTGCAGCACCATCCCAATGTCTACCTCCAGCCTCACCTGTCTTCTATAGGGCCATCTCTCTTGTTGTTGTTGTTGTTGTTGTTGTGTGCCGTGGAGTTGGTTCCAACTCATAGCAACCCTGTACAGGGTTTCCAAGGCTGTAAATCTTTATGGGAGCAGAAAGCCTCATCTTTCTTCCGTGGAACAGCTGGTAGTTTCGAACTGCTGACCTTGTGGTTAGCAGCCTGATTCGTAACCACTACGCTACCAGAGCTCCTATGTTGTTGTTATGTGCTGTGGAGTCGGTTCCGACTCATAGCGACCCTGTAAGGGTTTCCGAGGCTGTAAATCTTTATGGGAGCAGAAAGCCTCATCTTTCTCCCATCCATCTTTCTAGATCTCTTCTTTTATAGGCCATCACACATACAGGATTAGAACCCTGAACATGTACTCCAATACGATTCTGTGTTCACCTAACTAATCACATCCTCAAACACCCTGTTTCCAAACAAGGTAATCTTTATAGGCCAGGGGTGAGGCGGACAACAGAAACTTTGGGAGGACACATTCAGTTCTTAAACAGTAACTATATATATTTATGAAAATTCAGATTTTCAGAAAAATTGCCAACTAGCACAATGAACTTCTGTATAGCCTTTGAACAGACGCTCCGGTTTTTAATATTTTGCCACACCAGCTCTCTCTTCCCTCTCCTTGTCACCATTTCCTTCTCCCTTCATTCTTGTTTTCTCTCCTCCCCCTCACTTCTCCCCGCCAAAAAACAAACCCACAGTCAGTGAATTGATTCCAACTCATAGTGATTCTACAGGACAGAATCAAACCTCTCCACAGGGTTCTGGAGGCTGTAAATCTTTACAGGAACAAGAGAGCCTCATCTTTCTCCCCTGGAGCAGCTGGTGGGTTCAACCCACTGCCCTTCTGGCACCCAGCACTTAGCCCACAGTGCCACCAGGGCTTCCTTCTTGCTCTCCATACATGCAATTTTTCAACTACTGAGAGTCATTGCAAACATCAAGAATAATAGCATTGTCTTTTGTTCTAACAGGACTGTGGTCAAAATCAGAGAAACCAGCATTGATCCAACGGAATGCCCTAGCTCATGGCCACATTCAAACTGCACTCTTTGTCCCAATACTGTTCTTTGTAGCCAAATTCCCCAGTCCAGGGTCCAATCCAGCGTGTACATGGTGGGACCTGTGCCTTCAGTCTTCTCCCGTCTAGACCAGTTCCTTAGCCTGTCTTCATCCTTCCTAACCTTGGTGTCTTTGAAGGGTGTATGCTTGGTTTTGAAATTGGGTTGTTTGCTTTCTTATTACAGAGTTTTATATTTTCTGGATATAAGTCCTTTATCAGATATGTGATTTGCAAATATTTTCTCCCCAGGCTTGTCTTTTCATTGATTAAACAGTTCCTTATGAAGAACAGACGTTTTTAAACATTTTTCTCTAATTCATTATAGTGTAAAGTACAGCACACAAGGTTGCCGTTTTCACCATTTCCTAAAGCTTTTTTTTTTTTACTATCAGTGACCTTGACGGCATCTACAATGTTATGGCATCGTCAAGAAGTTTTACGTTTGATGAGGTCATGTCTTAAACAAGAAAGTTTTAGCTGAAAACTTTTTATCTTAAAAACAACAACAACAACAACAACAACAACAAACAAAGAAACAGCAATACCACAAAACCCCTCATGGATTGTGCTTTGGTGTTAAATCTAAAAAATCTTTGTCTCCCCCAAAGCTATGGAGATTTTCTTGCAGGGGTTTTGGAGTTTCCATAACACAGTTAGGTCCATGGTGGATCTTGTGCTGATATTTGTGAATGGTGTGACGTATGGATAGAAGTTCATTTTTCACATATGGATGTCCAGTTGTCCTAGCACGGTTTATTGAGACGACTACTATCTCTTCCCGTTGAATCATTGATGCACTTTTGTGTACAATTGAAAATTCACTGGTCATGTGTCCAGGGGACTCTGGACTCTCATTCTGCTCCACTGATGTGTTTATCTATCTTTATGCTGATAACACACTATCTTGATTACTAACAGTATCCGGTGCTGTTTGAGTTGATTTGAATCACAGGGACCCTGTAAGACAGGGCAGAACTGGACTCTAGGGTTCCCAAGGCTGTAACTCTTTACAGAAGCAGATTGCCACATCTTTCTCTAAAGTCATAGCTAGTAGGTTTGAACCACCAACATTTCAGGGCTCCTTACTGTTAACACTGCAGGTCTTAAAATCAGGTAGTGCCAAGTTCACCAAATTAGTCCTTTTTTTCTTTTTGATGTATCCTGCAATTTTCAGTATGTTGCATTCTAATTTTCCACCACTCGTCTGTCAGTCTGTCAGTCTGTCTCATTGAATACCCACCCTTCATCTGTCAGTCTGTCTCATTGAGTACCTACCATTCATCTGTCAGTTTGTCGTACTGTGGTGGTTTGTGAGTTGCAGTGATTCTGAAAGCTATGACACCGGTATTTTAAATACCAGCAGGGTCACCCATGGTGGACAGATTTCAGATGATCTTCCAGACAAAGACAGACAAGGAAGAAAGAGTGATGAACTACTTCCAAATATTTAGTCACTGAAAACCTTATGAACAGCAGAGAAACACTGTCAGATACAGAGCTGGAAAATGAGCCCTTCAGGTTGGAAGGCACTCAAAATGTGACTGGGGAAGAGATGCCTCCTCAAAGTAGAGTTGACCGTGATAATATGAATGGAATAAAGCACGTGGGACCTTCATTTGCTGATGGGGCACAACTCAAAATGAAGAGAAACAGCTGTAAACATCCATGGAAAATCGAACATGGAATGTATGAAGTATGAATCTGGGAAAATTGGAAGCTGTCAAAAATGAAATGGAACGCATAAACATCGCTATCTTAGGCATTAGTGAGCTGAAATGGACTGGTATTGGCTATTTTGAATTTGACAACCACATAGTTTACTACGCCAGAAATGACAAATTGAGGAGGAATGGTGTTGCATTCATTGTCAAAAAGAACATATCCAGATCAGTCATGAGGTACAAGGCTGTGATACGATAATATCCATGCATTTGCAGGGAAGGCCAGTTAATACCACTATTATTCAAACATATGCAGCAAACACTAAAGCTAGTGAGGATGAAATAAAAGAATTTTACCAACTTCTTCAATCTGCTCTTGATCAAACATGCAATCAAGATGTATTGCTCATTACTGGTGATTGGAATGCAAATGTTGGGAGCAAAGAGGAAGGATCAGTAGTTGG